GGGGATGTGAGTACCGCGGGGAGCCGGCCCGGGGAAGGGAGGGAGGGAGGACGAGGAGATCCCCCCGGGATGCGCTTTCCCTTCCCCCAGCCCCCAGCGCAGGGAGCCCTGCGGGCGGATCCGCCGGCGCTGCACTAAAAGCTGCCCCTTATTGCTGCGGGCGGGACCAGGCTCCGCGTGTGGGTGGCGGGGCTGCAGATGGTGCTGATAAACCTTCCTTGTCTGCCTGTTCGGTTCGGGTTTTAGCCGGGTTTGAAGAGGGTGTTTGTGAGCTGGAGAGAAAGAGTTTCTCTGTGTTGTTCACCTGACAAAGGGCCCTTCTGTTTTTCGCTCAGGGAGTTGCAAAGCCTTGTGCAAACCGGGGTGAGGTCTTGGCGGGACCAAGAGCAGTGTGGGAATAACTGGGTGCCAGCCCCGAGCGCTCAGCCTGGGCACAGCAGGGTGATCCGGGGGGCTCCGAGCTGGCTGTGCCGCTGGGCTTGGCAGGCACTTGGAGCAGGGAAAAGGAAAGTGTTGGTTAAAGGCCGTGGGCATGAGATCTAGAGCTGAAGGTGCGTCCTGTGTTTGTGTGCTACACAGATACAAAGCCAGGCCTCCTCACTCTGCCCGGCTGCTCACAACATGATCTGGTGCTGGTAGGCAAGGACCCTTGTGTTGTTAGAAGCACCGTGTATAGGAGCAGTGTGGTTTCGATTTGTGTCAATTGTGTTTTCACACAGGCTTTAAAATGTGAGTCTAGACGTGTTTGTTGAAGATTTAGTTGTCTGTTAAAGCTTGTAAGCTAAAGGTGCTTAATGAGCTTGGAAAGACAAGGGGAAAGAAGCAAATGTTTCTATTAAATAATGTCTGCAATGAACTTGCCTATTTCATTAGCATGTATTTTTCAGTTATCCTTTTTTCCCCCCATTGCTGGTTAATTTAAGAGTTTAGCTGTGCTGATTTGAAGTGAGGGGTGTTTCTCTCTCTGACCCTACTGCTGAACAACAAAGTTTTTCCTTCAGTAACAGTGGGAAGTAGCATCTTCAGGAATCATTCCTAATGTAAAGCTAGTTATTAAAAGGACTCTCATTTGTGATTTGGTGTTTCAGTGAAAAACTTTGAGCTTTGCAGGTTGTTGCTAAGGATGGTGACTGGGTTGGTTTTTACTTTTCAAGGCCTCACAGGACTGAGCTGTACGTGGATCCCCCCTCAGCATGCTGGCCTATTGTGTATTCTCCAGACTACAACATCACTTTCGTGGGACTTGAGAAGCTGCATCCATTTGATGCAGGGAAATGGGGAAAAGTAATCAATTTCTTGAAAGGTAAAAATAACAGAAGGTGCCTCTTAGACTGCTTGCACAAAAGTTGATAGAAATGATGTAGTTAGCACAGATTTATGTGAGTAACTGGCAATATAATGGTGACTTTACATCTTCCTTGCTCATTGTGTAGATTTAAGCTATGATCTGTAGTCATATTTGGAGTAGTTCAGTGTTTTTTTTCTATTTATGGATTAAATCTTAGCCAGTTAAATTGATTGTAGGATTTCTGAGGTGACTGGATGTGGTGCACATTGTTGAAGATGTTGCCTATGACATACTTATAAGGTGAAACTCTAGTGTTAGAGCAAACACTTGACTTAATAAACCCACAGTTTTGGTTTTGTCTCAGTCATGGTGTCTGTGCAGCATGAAACTCATGAAATGTGATTGAAAATTCAAGCTCCATTAAGTTATATGCTCTCTGCAGAGGTGTGAATGATACTAGTTAGAGTAATTGGTTTACTTCATATTGGCCCAGAGCATTACAAGACAGTAAAAAGGAGCAAGGAGAAACATAGACCATCTTAAGTATTTCTGGTCTTTGCAGTTTGAATGAAAGCATGAAGTGAGTGGAATTTAATTGCTTGGCCTTTATGAGGAATGTTCATGTGGGATGTTTGAACACTGTTTCCACATCTGAAGCAGGCACCAGAATTTTGACTTTCAGCCTAGCACAAGTTAGGTGCAGACTGCTGAATGGAGCCTTGTGGATGTCACTCATTGTGCTGTGTCTTGATATTCAGACACTTTCAGTTGGAGATGAAGGCATAAAAGCAGTGTTCCCTCTTGAGGATAGCTGCTGTTTGTAGTTCTGGTTTCTCCTTTCCTTAGAGCACCAAGCCTGGAACTAACACAGAACACAGACTTCAGTTCTGTAGCACTGAATGGAAATCCTCCCACATTAGCTGCAAGACCTGAATTGCAGTTTGGGAGAACTGTGTCTGGCTTCATATAGCTTTGTGCTTCCATTGCTTTACACCTGGTGTAACAGGAACTAGGGCATTCCTCGTGGCTTGTGAAACTACAGGTGTTAATCACCTGCTTGCTGTGAGATGTAACTTAGTTACTCCACTGAAACTGCAGACAGTCTGCTGGCAAATGGTGCTTTTCAGGCTGAAAGATCAGCACTTCTTGTTAAAAATCCATTTTTTGTCAACCTCATGATATTCTTCTGATAATGTTTGGAAGGAGCTTTGAGACTCTTCTGGTGAGTGGTAGAACTTGTGATGGTGCTTACTATTGTTGTTTAAACAAATTGGAAGATATAGGCAGAAATACATCAAGAGTATACATGAAGGATACATCAAGGGGACCTAATGGGATTCACCCATGGGTCCTGAGGGAGCTGGTGGATGAAATTGCTGAGCCTCTGTCCATTGTGTTTGAGAGGTCATGGCAGTCTGAGCAGCTTAGTAGCTGAGTTTTGGATCTTCCTTCTTACAGCCCTAATTATTTCAAAGTGTTGGGTGCCACCATGGCCATTTTCTTAATTCATTAAAACTTCTGCTGTTCTTCTCTGTGTGAAGTCTTTTCCTCTAGTTCTTTTCTGTATGAGGTGTCCTCTCTTTAGTCTCAGGCTTTCACAGAAAATTATTTTTTCCGGGCCAGTTTACTTTTCTTGCTTTGTAAAGGAGGAAGAAGCCACAGGACACCCCAGGACACACCTGGTTTTCTGTGGCTCTGCAGCAACTCCTGGCAACAGCTGATCCCTGCTCTTCCCTGTCATCTTCTGGAAAATCACCAGTGAAAATCTTTCTACATTTACCTTCTCCTTCCTCACAAGGAAGCTGTTGGCAGGCTGGCTTTCTGTCTGCCACCAATGCCTGAATGAAATGTTCCTCAGGCCTCACTCAGGAGCAACAGAAGCTTGCCAAAAAAAATATTGTTGCAGGTGCTGTTCTTGTGTACCTTTAGAATAAAGTCTCTCATGTTGTGAGTTGTTTTCTTGCTCCTCTAAGTATAAATTACAGAGAAGGTGCAGTCTTAAAAGACTTCAGCTGTGCAACAACTAAATATCAAAATTTGCCTGGGAAGATCAGCATGGGGCCTTATATTTGTTGCTTGTAGTGATCATCTGTGAAGCAGTGTTGTTTTTCTGCACCGCTTGGCTTTTTCTGTTGATCCTAACTTGTACTTTCTGGCAAGTATATCCAGATGAATACATTCAAAAGCATTATCTTTGATCACATTCTGAAACCCTGGACTCATATTTTGTAGCTTGCTCTTATAAAACTGAGTTTTAAAATTATCCATCTTTTGGTCTCTAAGGGGAGGAATTAATAGCTGGTCATTGGTGTTTCCTGAAATGAAGTGGAGGTAGGGTCGTGACAGAAATATCTGAGTCAAGCATAAACATTTGCTTCCATAAACATCCAAACAATTATATTGAATTTTGTGGGGTTTTTTTACTCCCCTCTGATACAGGGAACAAAATACTAAAATCAAACATGGAATTTCTTAAAGCATGTGAAAGAGTGGTGAATATTTGATGGTGTGAGCACCAAAAGTTCCCCAGGGTATCAAGCCCTAGACTGTAAGGGTACTGTTGTGTCTGTCCATCCTCTGTCACCATCTGTCTTGTCTTTTAGTTTAAGCAAGAAGTTATTGTGATTGCACTCTGAAAGCTTTCTCTAAACAATATTTATCATATACCCACCAACTTAATAGCTTAGCTGTCTGATGGGGATGTATTTGGAAAATCTGTGAACATTGAGTAAACAAAAGTTGTTGTAGTGATTTACATTACAGAGGAAGTTACTACATCAAGGTCAAAGTAACCTCTTTGACAGGTTGGGATATGGGAAGTTAAGTGATGGTATAAAATGCCAATTGTTATTTCTCTCCTGTTTCAGAAGAAAAACTAATTGCAGATGACTTGATTGTACAGGCACGGGAAGCTACTGATGAAGATCTCTTGGTTGTTCACACAAGGCGCTACCTTAATAAGTTAAAGGTGCTGTACTTATTAATGTGTTTTTCAATTAAATTGTCTAGCATTAGTGTCTAGATTTATCATAGAATCAACTTCTACAGATTATAGAATTGTCTATTTTTTATTTGACATACTCTTTGGTAATACTGAAAGAAAAACAGAGAAGTAGAAGGGAATTCATAGAGGGGAAAGAGGGTTTACCATGTTATATAGGTGTCCTGAAATGGTATTTCAACAAAGTCAAATGAAAATAAGGAAAGTGTTCATGTGTGAGATGCAGTATATTCCAATACCCTCTTTAGTATCAGGATGTGTAAGTTTTGTTTTAGTCTAGTCAAATATGGTCTGAAATTGAAAGTACATTGGAGAGCACTAAAATGGAGTACTCTTTAAAATGTTTTTGAATTCAAGGATTGCTTGATGGGTTTGGGTTTTGTGTAATCTCAAAAGAGCATCCATGTAGGGATGCTGTTCTCAGTCTGTTGCAGGGGGAAATATTGGCTTCAGACTTTGACACTGCCTTTATCAGTGGAATATGGAGAGAGTTGAAAGGTCAATGTAGAGGCACAACCTTGCATGTTACCTGTGTGTGAAGGTTTCCAATACCAGCTCACAGAGGACTATATATTCAACAGGGGATAAAGAGCCTTTCTTGGGTATTTCTAAGTGAAACCTCTATTTGTTAAACTTGACTGTAACTTTAAAACACAAATGTGTAAAATCTTTGTTTCTGAATATATTCAGTCATCTGTAGGTGGAACATGAGTGCAGGTGGTACTGCTTTTAATTTTCAGCTCTCTGGTTGGAGGGCAGAGGAGGGATTTGCATTAGAAATAATCTGTTTCATAATTTTAAAAGTTATTTTGAGTCATCTTTGCCCTTCCACAGTGAGAGTCCTTGTATTGCTATTTCTGGAATGTTTTCTTTTTCTGTGTAAGGAATCTATTATTTGTGTGAACTTTTTTCACTCTTACTCCTTTCTTGAGTTCTCTCTTCTTCATTCTGTGCTGTAAAATTGCATGCCATTTCATACATTGTTAGATTTGATCTTATTTACATCTATTCTTGATACTGGGCTTTTAATTCCTGAGAACCACCCACCTCTTTTTACTGAGTCACTTCTTTGAAGCAGGCTATAATGTGCCTAGCTCAGTCTGGAATACCATAATATTTTTAGCACCTACAGGATGGCTTCACAGGGAATTGTGTGTATACCTGGTGTCTTGGTGTTCAGAACCAGTCCTGTCGTGTGCATTCAGGTGTGATTACCTGTCTCTCTTATTCTCCTTGAGAGAGTGTTTCCTTCACGTGTAGGAACGGGAAGAAGTTGTATTGGCCATGCCAGCAAATTCCTGCCAAACAGCAAAGATTAGTGTTGCAAATGCAAAATAACATGGGTGGACATGAGAAGACTCTGGGTATCCTCTGTATTGCCTTATCAAAAGTCTGTGCTTTTTTTTAAAATCCAGATAAATACAGATCTACCAAAAAATGACAGTTTTCTGTTAGATCAGCTCTGAAGACTACAAAGGTGCTTGTGTTTCTGGGAATGCCTAGCTGTCTTAAAATAATGGATCACTTGAGTAATTCTTCATTTAAAATTTGGGCATGAATTCGGTAGGAAATTCCATAGAGTTGTGAGAGGAGGTGATGGTGGGTGTCTTGGCAGCAGCTGAAGAAGCTGACTGGAGGCTGGTTGAAATAAAACAAAATGGTGTGTACACAATAGATCAAACAGTATTGAAAATCACTTCTGTGTTGGAAGGAAGGGTCTCCCTGTTTCCATGCTGGAGGTAACATGACTAGTCCTTACAAAAAAACTTGGCCTTTTCAATTGAGTTGGTTCCCTCTGTTATTCCTTGAAAGAATTTGCATCTTTAAGGTAATGACTGGACTAATTTGCTTGCTGTACTTTTCCACTTACTGCCTGTTTCTAGTGTTATGTAAAATAATGAATTTCCTGCACAGCAGCATTCTGGAATTTTGCAAGGCAATAGGCAGCAAGGCTAGAGCCAGGTGCAGACCAAGTCTTTCCCTTGAACCATTTCCATCTATGTGAGAGGGTCTGTGAGTGAGTATTGAAATGCATATGATGGGGCTAATGCTTGTGCCCCAGGGGAATGCAAGATGGTCTTGTCTGAAAGTCATCTGAAGCAGGTGATCAACCCATTGGAGCTGCACGTTTTGTTTGATCTGTTTTATATATTTGCAAATCATGTTGGTTTAAAAAATAAAAAGTTGGTCACTTTATTAGAAATGTGAATTTTTATGCCTAGGGAAAAGTGGGTTGATTTGATTATAGGGATTGTTTGGTGCTCAAGTGCTTGTGTGTTGTGGCTCTTCCCTGGCTGTGTGAGTGCATCTGGCATGAAACCCAGGGGTACCTGCCTCCCTGTGACATGGTTCTGTGGGCAGCATGCCGGGGGAAGGGAGCAGGTCTCTGGGGAATGAAGGCAGTAGGAGCAGGCTCAAAAGAATCAATTCAGCCTGTGACACTTGTGGCTATTTTAGATGTTCAGATAAACCAGCACAGAGTGCATCTTGGGCCACGTGTGTTGTGCTAGTGACCACAGGTGAGTTGGCAGCTGAAAACCTGTGGTTTTGGTTTGGATGAAATGGGCACCTTCAGAAGTGCTTAAAATTCCCCTGCCCAGTTCCTAAACTCAAGCAGTTCCTTTGCTGTCATCTGTTGTCTCTCTTCACTTCCTACTTTGTGTTTTCTCCTTGCTTAATTTTTACAAACTTGCTTGGTGAAAAATTTAGGAAGGCGAGTGGTGTTTTGTTGTGAAATGTTAATTTCAAAGTCATAAGAGCAGATAAGTTAGGTGAAGGGGAACAAATTCATTTTTCATGTAATGTGTTAGGTAAAGGTCTGCAGAAATATGTAAAAAGGTTATTCTAAAGGTAATGATATTTAAGTATGTTTGGAGAAAACACTGAACAAGGATGCTTAGTCACAGGGAACGAGGTTTGACAGGTTTCAGTATTTATACCACCCTGTGCTGCTGCAGGGCATTCTTTGTAGCAAAAACATGTATTAAACCTCTTGAGAGTGAAGCAGCATTTGGTGTACAGTGATTTGTCTTTCCTTTAATATTCATTTCCAGTTCTTCAGTTGGGAGACTGATGCACTAAAGTTGTGTGGCTGTGTGGTTTTCTTGGGTGTATGACCTGGTTATCATCAGTTTTTCCCAGCTTGGTGTCTTATTCCTAGTGAAAATAGTGCAGTCATACCTCGATCTTTACCTTCTGTGGAAACTGCAAGCTTCCTCCTTTTCTTTATGATCTTATCATATGTTAATTCAAACTAGAAACATACTGTATGTATTGAAAATGGACTCAAATAGCTTTGTCCCTAGCAAGCTTCTAAATATAAAACCATGTTAGTTACTTGGTGTTGGATTTGTAGGTCTGTGAATTTTAATTTTCCCTTGAAGCTGGGACTAGCTCCAGAACCTTATCAAAGATTTAAATGCAATTTAAATTTAGATATTAGAGAACAAAATTGCCTGTTTTCGAAGTATTGTTGGCTATTTAAAAATGGTGGAATGCAATGAATGCATAACACAAAAGGCAACACAATGTAGTCTTCATTCAAAGTTATTTTTACAATATGAAAAAGTGGTGATTTTTAGAAGCATTTTCATTAGCCTGTATCTGCGTTCTCAAAACTTAAGACTTTCCTCACAGTCAAATGACTTTCCCCCATGTGTTAGGAGTTACATAAAAACAGTGAAGGACTAAGTCTGAAGCAGTGAAAGTCTTTGGCACTGTTCTGGAAGTGTCCTCAGCTGCCAAGAGAGCTTTGCTCGCTCTCTGCTCGTACCACGTGTGCATTTCTTGTGTTCACTCACAAATCTGCAGCAACAGATGTGGTGATTTGAGTCTATTGCTCCCACTGCTTCCTGTTGAGATTACATTTTTTAACTGTGGTTTTAAAACTTTCTTAAATGTTGTGGTCTTTGTTCACATTTGATATCAAAATTTGTCATATCTAGATGAGTGACAGAGCCCTGGGCCAGGCTGCCCAGAGAGGCTGTGGAGTCTCCTTCTCTGGAGACATTCCAACCCCCCTGGCCACGTTCCTGTGTGATGTGCTCTGGGTGCCCCTGCTCTGGCAGGGGAGTTGGACTGGGTGAGCTTTCCAGGTCCCTTCCAACCCCTTCTGTGATTCTGTGTGATTCTGTGAAATGTGACCTTTTCAATTCCTTTTTTTTTTAGAACAACAGGATTGAATCTAGTGTTTTATACCACGCTTGTTTAAGTGCTAAAATATCTTGCAGTGGAACTTTTATCAAGATTGACTGTGTTACAAAATAATTAAAGCACTTTGATGGAGAGCTGATAGTATGGTAACAGATTAATCTCTTACAAATATAAAAGTGGTAAGCTTAAAATCAACAAAATATAATTAGTACTTAAGAATTTTAAGAATAATGCTACCTCCCTGCCCCACCCAATGCTACTTGGAAGCCAAAGTAGCCTAAGGTGGGGGGTTTTGTGTGTGTTTTGGGTTTTTGTTTGTTTGTTTGTTCTTTTTTTTTCTTAGTATCAGAGTGACCCTGAGATTGTCATGTCATTGTCTTTGGTTAAAATTGACCACTAGTTAAATTTCCTAATATTTAATAAAATCAGATCTATTCAGAACCTTTGTACAAGGTGTCAAATCTGTAAATCTTGGTGCCTGAATGTTTTGCTATTGGATGAAGAGGTATAGTCCTTCTTGTGACTTAGACTTTGAAGTATATTTTGGACTGTTATCACTGCAACATTAGTGGAAGTTCTTTGAAGTAATCTATATGTGTTTGCAAAAACAGCATTTACATATTGCATAAATTTTGTGTGCTAACCTTCAAATCATATTCTTGATGATACAGCTTTTTAACGAAATGTTTCCTTGAAACATGTTCCAGAAGTGTTTAATATGCTGTATAAATTTTAATCAGTTTTCCATGGTAAAATTTACACTTTGTGTTCACTTAAGTACTTGAACTTCTTAGTTGAGTTGTTTGTTTTTCCTTTCTCCTTGGTATATTCTTTTGACTTGAAGCGGAAAAGTTATTTTAGGTTTGAACAATGTATCAAGTGTAGCTTACTATTAATACTGCTGAAGGACATCCTACAAGTCTTCCTTCCAATACCAGGGATATTAGATTTTCTGAATTACTAGTGGGCTGACTAATTGCTGGTGTATTACAATTTGATACTAAATTGTGAAAAACCTGGTGATGGTGATTGAAAGTGATGATTCTCATAATTAACAGCTTGAGGATGAACCTAGTTGGTGGTTACTAATAAGGACTGTTGCAGTTAGCTTAGTCTAAAATTATTTAAAATCTCTCTAAGGACCTGTGAGCTCCTTTCTGGTAAATAGCCACTGAGGAGAGATCTAAATGCCATAATTAAGACAGGCTATATGAATTGAAATTTTCTTTTCCCCTCCTTGTAGTGGTCATTTGTTGTGGCTACGATCACAGAAATCCCACCAGTTGCCTTTCTTCCCAATTTCCTTGTTCAGAGGAAAGTTTTGAAACCTCTACGAACCCAGACAGGAGGAACAATAATGGTAAGGTGCTCTTGATTCACTTCTATCATATTCAAACTAGTATACATGAATGAGAGTTTGAGTATATATAAAAGTGTGAGTTTTCATGTTTTGCAGAACTCAGTCTGGAGCCCTGTAGAAGGATGTGAATTAATATACAGCCCTAATCATGAGCAAAGTATGTCACTTACTAGACACTGCCAAGGTGAAGGACATAACTGGTTTTATGGTCCATAGTTTGCAGAAGTGAAGGGAGTCAGTGCAGGGCAACCTGAGCAAGCTGATAGATGTGACAGGACTTATAGCACATACAGAAACCAAGTTAGTTTTGAATAGTGTTTAAATGTAAGCAAGTTCCCTTTCAGGGAGGTTTCAAAATTGTTAATACAGAAAGTATTTTTTAAAGCATCTATTTACCAAATGGCCTTGGTCCTGCATGGGAAGAGGTGCATGGTTTGGTTGGTCTAAAGACTAGATAGGTGTTTAAAGTTAAAAATCATATCACCTTGCTCATTTTAATGATTAATGTTAGTTTACCTACTTGTGTTGTAAATATCACATGAGCAGCCCAGCTGGACTCAAGTGAGAGCGAGCCTGTTTTTCTTCAGCAGAATTGTTTTCTAATTAGTTAAATGAGTGGTCTGATCAGAAGAGCAGTGCAAGTGTTGCCAGACATGTGATTTTGCCTGAGAACTGCCATTGTGAGATGTTGAGGAAGTAGAAGGAAAGAGAACATGTAATAGCTGGAGCCAGGAATGGTTTACTTAAACCATGTGTTGAGGAAAAGATGCCTTCATAATGGTAAACCAGTAATTCACAGAACCTTTTGTGCCCTTTTTATCATTGCCTTGTCATATTAGAGCCAGAGTTCAGGGACTGTGCAACATGGTGCTGGGAGAAGATGGTAGCAGTCCTGACCTCTCTTCACACACACTGAGCTGTAACAGTTACATAAAGAGATAAATAGTCCTATCTGAAATCATTAATATTATGGTACAAATGAATCTTTGCTGCATTTTAGCTACACATTCCTGAAGTTGCAGTAGGTGTGTGTATAAAGCACAGAAGCCCATATTGCTTTTTCTCTATCTATTTGATGCTAGTTATTGAACAATTGGCAAACCTTTCAGAGTACATTTGTGCCAGATATGAGAATAGGATTTATTGCAACCACTAGATATTGAGTGGGAGATACTGGGAAGCCATAAATGAATGATGAAGTAATGGTATTGTTTTCAGAAGTAAGCTAATTGGTAGCTTTCCCTAAACAGAAATGTGGGTACTTGGTAATATCTGCACTGGAATCAAGATTTCTTGTTTTTGAGTGCTTACCTTTGTGAATATATCAAGAATTCATTAAAGACTTAAATAATAGGAAGAGCTCTTCTATGACTAGTGCATAAAAGGTAGTGCAGTATGGTTTTCAGGAGTGATGAAATGTGTTAGATCTGTGAGTCTGACCTAGGAGAATGATGGGAGTGAGCCCAAGGGTTTGGTTTTGGTGAAACAGTTCTCAAAGTTGTAAACTCAGAGGATCTGAGCACTAGTAAGTCTCATCCTTCTTGGGTGTTGCTATATGAAATGAAAACAGAGAGCCAGTTGTTACCAGATTTTTAAGGCAAGATGAAATATCCTGCTTTTCTGTTGTATTTACTTTTTAAATGATAGATCTACTCAGTGCCTGATTTTTTTTAATCAGAAAAAAAATATATGTCAGTTTCTTTCATTATTTGAGTACTTTGTTAAATCTGTGGCCCATCCAGATGCTGGATTTGCAAGTGTGTATGTAAAAGTAACTCTCTGCCAGTTACTTGTTACCAATAGGTAGTAGAGAAAGGAATGGAATTAATTGGACAGCTTGTCACTGTGTTTGAACAGCTACTGTTAAGGTTCAGGAATATCTTTTACCAGTGCAATTTAATTGGTCTAAGCATGTAATCTTGACTCCCTCTGTAATACTCAAAATCCTGGACTTAGATATTTAAGTCTGGAAATCTTAAAAAAGTTTGAGTGTGTCATTATGTTTGAACTGTGTTACGAACTGGTGCTTTTTGAAATTTGTAACAGGGAATGCAGTAGAGTAATGTAGGGCAGCATGGTTTGTGTCCAGTTAACTCTGCACAATACTTGAAGTACTCAGACTGGTTGAAAAATGTGTTGACATAAATATGCAGGTGACCAGAAAAATCTTGTTTGTTACTAGAGGAAAAGGTGAGAGTTGCGATCATAACAGAGAAGCAGCAAAGAAAGATTTCCAGTAAGTTTTTGAATGTGGAGATAGAGGGAAAGAGCAAAAAGTCATTTCCCTGATGCTGAAATTGTGTGTGAAGCAAGTTAATTGCTGCTTATTTCTCTGAGCTGTTAAATGAAAATGGCCAGTGATTTCTTGCTAAATCATTAGGATAAGAGCAAGTCCTGTGACTTTTGCTGTATTTAGGTATCCTTGCAGGCTGCTGAGTCTGGTTTTATTCAGACCTGAGTGATAAATGGCTTTCTCTTACAAAATAAAAGTTGGATGTATCTTGCCCACCTGAGACTCTGTTTCTTCAACTATTGTTCTCACTTCTTAAACCCCATTTCCTAATTCTGTTTTAATTTTCTTGTGTTACTCTGTCTTCTTGGATGTGCATGTTATTCAAGGAACAGTGAGCTAAGGAAATACGTGGAAGTGTTTGAGTAGTGCAGCCATGTCTGATGCTTTTATTCAAGTCTGAATGTCTGAGCAAGTGTGAGAGAACCAGATAAACTATTGAGAAGGTTAAACTAACCTTTAAGGACAAAGTAAGTGTATGTGGATGAGTTTGGAAAGAATATGCTAGATTCTGTATAAACCTTTAGACTTACTGGACTATAGTAATAAGCTAGATAACCAAGTGCTGCCTTCTTGAGTAGGTGTTAACTGGCACAAGCAGAGATGATAGAAGTGGAACACTGTGCATCCCCCTAATGCAAACACTGGAACACTGTCTCCTGGCAGTTTACCAGGAGGAGCTGGAAATAGTCACAAACTGGTTTTCCTGATAGCTCTGTACTCATCGTGCTTTCAGTGGACTGCTGGGAAGGTTGGGGGTAGTTTCACTTTTTTTTTTTTTTTAATTATTAAAAAAACCCACCCATATGTTATACACTGGGTAGTAGTGTAGAGGGAGAATTCTGGATTCCTGGTTGTCACTCACAAAGTAGCAGCTCCCTTGTAGTCTCCATGTAGTCCTTCATCATCACTGCAGACTCCTGGTCAGTTCTCCCCTCTTGTTTCTTCCTGTAATCAGCTGTGATTATTGAGGTGGGGGTTTTAGACAGGCCTTGGCAGACCAGAACAGGAACATCCAGGGCCTTCTCTTCCCGTAGCCCCGTTGCCTTTTTGTACAGTAGTCATGAGGGCTGAAGGACATGGCATAAGATAAAAATAGCTGGAAAGATTCTAGGGTTTCCTAATATTCTGCTGTAGATATTTCTTGAGGGTCTTGACAGAAATCTATTTCACTGTATTTCTAACTAGCCAATACTTTTATATGATTTGTGATTATTTTAATTGTGCTTGTGTTACCTTTATTTCATAAATGTGTGTTCACTAGTTATAAATGTGGTCATGGAGAAGAGACAGCCACTAATTGTCAGTTAGATCTTTGTATCATGTCCCCTGAAGTACAGGTGGCGTCACTGGTAGCCTTTGCATTGAACTTGATGACATATGTGGTTATGTTTACCTTTTTACCATTCATTATGGGGAAATAGGTGTGTAATTCAAATGCAGTTTTGATTCATCAGACAATAACATTTGTACAGCACACAGCAGAAGTACAGACAGTCTCCAGCTATTCCTGGTGGTCCTGTTTGTCATGGAAATTCCTGTTGAGTTTCTGTACTACTTAATGATTTTTAGCAATATAGGAAGATTGGGTTTTGGTGAGGAATCCCTAGGAAGTATGCTAAATCAGAGGTAATGTGCTTTCTCTGTGCCTTAATGGGTTTTATAGTTCAGAAACTACAATCTTTTATGAAGATCTAATTTGTGGAAGTGAGTGTGTTCGTAACAGGACAATGTTTACCTTCCCAGTAGTTTTCTTAATGCTAAATTAGAACTGTTCAGATATAAATATTGGTGAATAAGAATTCTCAAATATTCAAACCTCCTTTTGTACATGATGTGTAATGTTATTTGATCTTTTTTTTTTTTTTTTTTAAATTATAAATGGTAATATCTTCTTTTTTAAAAACATGACATTTAAGGAATACTGAACTTACATACTTACTTAACTCTTCCTGGCCAAAATAATAATTTTTTTCTATTAAAATGTCATAATTTGAGCCCTGTCTATCTCCTGTCTGTCAATACTTTCCCTGAATGTCATTTGAGTTCAAAGGAGAGGTACAGGGACAGTATTTCTGTTTTGGAGGGGAAAAGAGTAGTAATATCCTATACTGTGCATATGATATCATTTTAAAAACAAAAGTCCCAGGACACTTAATACATTAGCACATTTCTGCCCCAGCCCCCAGCTGAAGCTATGTGCATCTCTATTTTCAGAGTTTTGAGCTCATGTGTCTCCTATTTCTACATGAAGAGGAAGGATATAGGAGATTATTGCTAATTTTTTCCTGTTACCAACATTGGTACTTTCCCTTTGTCATTTGCCTGAGGGGGGTCTGTGTTCATCTCTGCAAAGCACAGTGAGTTTTAGATCTGATCAACTGCCAGAGAATGAAATACAGATAAGAGAGCATATATTTTTGTCAGCTAGTTATGCTGAGGATAGTTTTGTGTGATTCGTATTCAGAGATCTGATTCAGAATGACCTGCAATAGTAAGACATCCAAAAATTCAGTGGGCATGTCCCAGTGCCAAGGGTTGCATTAGGGGTGGAAGCAGACAGTGCTGAACCTTTGCCTCATCCATTCATGAAGTTCTCACTGTCATTTCCTTAAGGCAGGAAAACTTGCTGTGGACAGAGGCTGGGCAATCAATGTGGGTAAGTACAAGTGTGGGGCAATAAATGATCCTTGAGATGGTGCATTTGAAGCCATTATTTTCATTTAGCATGTCTACTCTGTTCTTGATAACAGAAAGTAACTGGCTTGTGTTTAACTAAAATCACCTCTAAAGGAGGAAAAAAATATGGAAAAAAATAGTAGATTTTTTTCCTCATCTGCTGCTATTACCTTTATTGCAGTTTTACCATTAAATACAGTAATTATTGGTAAGAAAATAAATAACTGGATATTATATATATATATGGAAAAGTGTTTGGATTGAACCAGTGTGAAAAAATTAAGGAAAAATGTAAATATTTCAATATATGTCAGTAAAATATTTGATTTCATTAAATTATGAACTAACTTTTGTAGATTCACTTTCATAGAGCTAATTTATGTTTTACCAAACTGAGGGGTTGGTGGGCAGACTGGGGAGCAGGGCTGTACCAGTTAGTGTCTGGTTTTGACTGTGCAGTTTTTCTTGAAGAAGATTTGAATGAACAAATGATGAAGAATATAGTGACTATAAATCTGCTCTCCTGCTCACAGCCCATAGCAATGCAAACCAGTAAACTACTGAAGCAATACTGTGTGTTGTGCAAGGTGTGGCTTCATAAATCTCAGCAATTCTGGGATTTTTCTGTTCTTTCTTTCACACATCTTCTACAAAGGGAATATCTACTATTAAAAATGTGTATTAAGCAACAAGCCCCAAAGCCTGCTGTATTTACTGATACATAAAGTGATCTTGCTCAGTTTCTTGCTTAGATATTTGTAGCAGGTTTCTTAGTAAACAGAGGGGGAGGTCCAAGGACATTTTTCATGTAAGGAGCACATATGTTTGTGTTTTCAATAGGAGTTCTTGAAGTTTCTTCTAGCCTTCGTGTTTGCAGACCTGTGCATGCTGACACCATAGTTCTTGGTGTGGTATTGTTTGACCTGGTGCTCAGCCTGGAAAAGAGCTTTCCACCTGCCCCACGATGACAATTAGACAACTCCAACATGCCTGGGGGACCTGAACTTTCCACTGTGTGTTACAGTGTACATTTCTCAGATGTGTGGATGGTTGCTAGATGAAAGGGACAATTCCCTTCAATTTGGGCACCTGCAGGTCCTTTGCCTGATGATCTGGTTGGCCATATATAAGATAATTACAGAAACCCAGTGAGATATTTTGTGTTGCTAGGTAGGGGTTTAACAGCTCTAGGCACGGAATTTGCTAAAGAAAGTGCCTGACATGTAAGTGATCTCTGTCTCTTTGCAAAGAGCATCAATGTTCCTTCCTATCTAGCTTCTAATCTCCAACATTTTTATGTTTAGGAGGTGGTTTTCATCACTGTTCAAGTGACAAAGGTGGAGGATTTTGTGCATATGCTGATATCACTCTGGCTATAAAGGTAAGAAGTACTCTTAAATGGTATTTTCTACAATTTTGCAAATGGAAAAAAATCCACATAAATTGATGAGCACTAATTTACATCTGAATAGGAGGAAATAGAGGCATCTATAGAAAGGTAGGAATGGGGAAGTGGTGTGGTGCTTGATGCTGCAGAATGGAACGTGTGCAGGATTGTTGAGTGGAAGGGAAGAGCTGCAGGGGTCAGAATGATGTATGTAAATATGAACCACTACAGTTGTATTAATAGCATCTTCTTGCAAAAAAAATTAATAATTTAAAAACAAATCTTTTAATATCCTCACTGCTCATTATCCTAGCCTTTGCAGTTGAACCTGAAATTCCTTGAGTTTCAGTGGTTACAATCAAGATGGATGCAGAGGCAGAAATCCTCTCTCTATATCAACTGCACTTACACACTGCACAGAGTGGTTCAAATTCATGAATAAAAATGTGAATGTCACCAAAATAATCACTGAAAGGGAATGACTATATTTGGTATTTAGCTGTTGAAAGGCTGAAGCAAGAGCCTTCTGCAATTAGGGCTTATTTTTATCAAATGTGCTGCGGTATATTTGTACACTAGAGTATTTATAAAGTATCAGTAATAATCAAACATAAAAAACCACTTAATGATTGCAGCACACTGTATGACATAACATCCTAATTTCTGTACGTGGTAATTTGCAGAAAAGTAATCCACAGTGTTATATTTTCCCCATCATTAAAGTACAGATTGAGAAATTATAGCGGGTGACAGTTTGTACAACATCATTGGGTTTTACTGTGTCTGTATTACAGAAGGCAACTTGTCAAAGTTCAGGCTCAAAGAATTGGTAAATATTTTTTTATTCACAGACATGGAATAGAATTCTGTTACTAAAAGTGACTTCAATGCATACAGTCCCTACAGCAGCCTTTGCTAAATGGTGGATTTTCATAGAATCATATAGAATGGTTTGGGTTGGAAGGCACCTAAAAGACCACCTAGATCTAAGCCCCGTGCGTGGACCTCCCACCAGACCAGGTTGCTCCAAGCCCCATCCAGCCTGGCCTTGAATGCTTCTGGGGATGGGGCAGCCACAGCTTCCCTGGGCAACCTAGGCCACTGTCTCACCACCCCCCTAGTGAATAATGAATGCTTGTGCAGTTGGATGCCATCACAGTGTGGTGTTTCTCCCTCCCTGCTGATGAGCCTCACTTGTACTGTTTCATGTCTCTTATGGAGTTGGCTCCTCCATGTCTGGGACCAGCTCTTGCTTCACCTAGTCCCAGCCCACAGTTGTTGCTGTTGCTTTTACCCTGCTGTCACTGGTTCCACCCCAGCCTCTGACAGCACCAATGTCATAATCAGCTTCATATCCCCAGGTAATCTCCATCTGGGCCTGTCCCTTGGAGGCTGGCTGCTGTGGGATGCAGAGATGTGCTGGCTCACCTGGGGAGAGCCAGGGTTACTGCCACAGGATTTATTACCCTGGGTCCAGTGTGGTACTTAATTGTGCCCCATTTCTGGAGTCCTCTTTACAAGTTAGTGTGGGATGCTGTAGGGAGGCACATCTTTGATCCTATGTTGTGTCTGGTACTTGGTAGGAAAAAGAGGAGTAGAAATCCTTCTTCCCTCCACCAACTTTCTTTACAGGTAGGCAGATACCTGCACAGCTGATTCTGAAATGCATGTTGTATGTGGAATAAGTAGAGCTTTTGCAATTAAGTGTATTAGAATAATCTAGCTGTTTATTTGGTGAATGAAATTAAGACTCATGCTACGTTCAGGTCAGAGCAGTGATACACTCTGCAAGCACCACCTCCAGTTAGTGTCACCTAACTTCATCACTTTCTCCATCTTTTTCTTTTCTTGTCTATCCAGTTCTTATTTGAAAGAGTGCCAGGGGTGTCTAAAGCCACAATTATTGATCTGGATGCTCATCAGGTGAGTAGCTTCCCTGTATTCAGTGCTGCAGATGTTTAGCTCGAAATACAAGTGTGTGACAAATACCACTGTTTTCCATTAGTAGTAAAAACTGTCAACTCACAGAATACAGAGTTAATCAAAATGATGGAAACTGGGAACAGTTTAGTCATTATTTTATGGTTCAAAAGGCTGTTATGCCAGTTTAATAGAATTAAACTGAATTGTAGCTCCATCATGTGGCTAGATGTAAAAATATTTTTGAGTTACATACAGATGTGAGGCTTAACAGGCTCCAGAGTAGGTCAGTATCCCAGAAGAAACAAGAATCTCTTGAAACAGAATGATGGTTAGTTCAGTGAGTGTGATGGCTGCAGCAGCCTTTGGAGGGGATGAATTTGTCTTTCAGTGTTTCCATGGAAAGCCTGGCTTCAGGAAAGAGTACATCACTCTTCACCTGGTAGAGTGATTTACTGTGGGTACTGAGAACAAATCTCATCTTGGGTAAGATTTCCAAAAGAAATCCTAAGAGGAGGGAAAAAGTATTTCTAGAAAAGCAGTTAATGCACCCATTGAAAGCACTGAAGATAATTATTTTTGTGTAAAGAAACCATTTCTAAGTAGCCCCATGGCTGTGAGGAAGCCTAATGGCTGCAAGTTTTCCATCTTCTCTCATTTCTCTTATCCTGCAATTCAGGCATCCTGAAATTGCCATGAAATAAGGACATAGACTATGCCTAGAAAAACGTTCTGCATTGATGATTCTCTCAGCCATCTCTGTCAGGGTAGGGATTTTTTTGTGGTTTTTTTGGGTGTTCTTTGTTTTAGTTTTTCAAGACTTCTTGGAATGTGTTTTGATTTTCAGGTATCATGCTGGCAATCCCAGCCTGCACACTAAATCTTCCCTTCTTGGGGAATGAGCTGTGTGAAGTGGTAGCTCAGCAGATCCTTTGTAAGAATGCAGATATTCTCATCTTGTAAGTGTTCCAATTCTTGGTGCATTGGCAAGTTGCACCTTTGGTAAAGAAAGTAGTTCACCCAGAGGCTCTTGTTCCTACATTTACTGCTCAGGAATTGTTTGTGGACCAAAGGTGCTGAAGAAATAAATAGGAATTCCCATTGTTTAGCATAAAGAAATGCAGCTCTGGTGCTTCTTGTTCCTTTTTCCACACACATTGACCAGCTTTAACCAGTGATTATTTCTCTCTTTTTTTTTTGTGTGTGTGTGTTGTTTGGTTTTGTTTACTTGTTTTGCAGCAGGGCAAGTTGGGTCAGAAATAGCTCAACTGTCCAGAGACATAAGTTGTATCTTCTGTAGCTCAGTTACATATCTATGGAAATGTCTGTTTTTATAGATGACATGAAATTCTTTTGGGGGTCAGGCCTGGGGACTTGGATAATGCAATGATATTACCAAGAATATCTTAGTGATTGCTGTGCAAAGGTTCTTTTTATGCTAGGTGAAGAAAGTCTAAATGAGAGCAAAAGGAATAGTATTTAAATTCAGAAATGTGGGAGAAGGAAATATTCAGATTGAGTTTTCTCTTGAACATCAATTTTTGCACTCATTACAGGTTTTTTAAATGAATCTCTGGTGTTAAGCTTTTGGATTTTAGTGTTTGTAATTTTTTCAGGGATTACTTATCTCACCAAGGCTTGAATTAATACCAAACTGTAATCTGTTGTTTATTTATCTATTGATCTTTGTGTAAGAATAAGTATCCCTACAGCAGCTGAAAGTGACTTTTTTTACACAATTAAAAGACGAGAGAGATATTTGGTGGTTACAATAGCTTTTGGGATGCTGCTGAAGGCAATAAACTTCTACTTTTAATTTATTTTTCTTATATGTGCAATGAGATTCATTTTAGTTACCTTCACAGAGATAGAAGGATGTTGATTTTGAAAATACCTGCAGTCTTCAAACAGATACTGCCAAAGCCCTCAAATCTCTACACCTCAAAATAACCTTCAAGACTATAAATAAGAGAATGACATAGGAGTTTGAAATACTAGATCTTTTTAGTGTTAGTTACTTTAGATTTTGCAGATTATTTAGTTCTGTGTTAGTGTGCCAGGAATAGCTAACTGTTAATTTCCTTCAGGGAAATGGCCATGAGAGGGACTTTATGGATGATCATAGGGTGTACATTATGGATGCATACAACAGACACATTTACCCAGGGGATGGATTTGCTAAACGTAAGTGTAATTGAAATTCTTATTCCAAAATATGACACCTACTGTGTTGTTAAATAACTTCTTCATTTACTGCTAAGTTTCCTTGCAACAATGTTAACTGGATTTTTTTATTATTTCACATTGAACATAACAATTTTCGGTGATCACTGATATATCATAGTAGGGTTAATACTGTGGTGTTTTCCCTCAGGAATTAATTTGTGGACTGAAAGAGGGGAGGTATTGGGTGGCCTTTGTTTAGCAGTTCATTCAAAAGCTCATGCCAGGAGAAGAATGAACAATTAGATAAATAATCCTTTTGGTTTGAAGGTATTTTAGAATTTAATCTTTCCTTTACACTAGATTAATAAAAGGATTCACACAGGACTAGCTAATACTGTGCAAAAAGGTTTCATGCTCTCTCAGAAGTTATAACATACCTAGTTTTTTCCTTTCCAATAGAACTTTTTATAAGCATCTAGAAAACAAGATGCATCTGAATGTGAAAATAGTTGGAAGCAAAAGGAAGTCATAGGAATGTTAAGAGCTGGTGGTTGGGTTTTTGTTCTCGTTGTTGTTGTTTGTTTTTCCCTGCTGTGATGTGCCTATTGTTTGCTGACCTGTCACAATTAATTAGTGGGCTTTTGATAATGGTTAAATTGGAATGCAAATGCACAAAATTTATTTGATCTTTGATTCTGTTACACTGTCATTTATTACAGGCTTAATTCGTTAACTGCATGATGGGGGAGATGTTCTGCTGTTGAGTGTCTTCAATGGCCTTGTCATTCTGAAAAGCCTGCTTTATTTGGATTCTTGGCAAGAATTAGGTTCAGTGCATTGTGCTTCTTTTTTTTTTAGCTAGTAAAGATTTTGAAAGTTGTAGTGTATTTATTTTAAGGAAACCATCTCTTTATTCATATATCAAATTGCAAAGTTTTGAACACATGGATTAAGAGCAAAGCAGAGTAAGCCCTTGTTAGTAAATCTGAAATACTGACCCCTCTTCTGGGAAGCTGGAAATACCACCCTTCCCTTTCTGCTGAGGCTGCAGCCAAAGTGAGGGTGTCTCCACAGGACTTCACCCTTTCAGCTTTCTCGTGCTAGGGGGCCAGGAGAAGGTGAGATCAGAGAGGACATCTTTCTGAAAGGAGGTTGGGGCTTGGACCTGGGAGTTTGAATCCTTCGAGTAAATTCTTACTGTCTCCCTGGACTTCTTGCTAATTTTCTTCATGTTTTGTTACAGGAGTCTGTTCTGTACATTTTTCTTGCCCTATGCACTTCATAAGGAAAAAAACTCAAACCTCTAGCTAACTACTCCCTAATGCTTGGCCCTAAGCATACTGACTTCCTGGAGGGAAGTAGTTTGGAATCACACAGAGGATTAGAAGGGAAAGGGGAAGATGGATGGGGAAGAGGACTAGTGCCCTGAAGAGTAAGCATAAAAAGCTGACAGCTGAAACTCAAAGTTCAGGCTTTAAAAAAAGTGTTGCTGTTGAGCTGAGTGTCATTTAACCTGATTGCAAAGTCTATTCACCAGTTAGCAAGAGGTGGACAAAAGGCTGTCAGGTGTGTTCAGTCTAACCTACAGATCCCTCACTGTGTCCATAACCAGTCCCTGTTCTGGGTAATAACAAATCATTGTAATTGTGTGTTTTGTGGGGGAGATGAAGGCAAGAGACCTGCAGAGACATTGAATCTTATTCACTGTACTCTCAACTCTTGAATGGTTTAATCAGAACAATACTTCTTTGTTCCCCATACTCATGTGTTTTCCTCTGTCTCTGAAGCTCCCTTCAACTAGTGAATTCTTTACCCTGAAGAGGCTCTGAGTGCTGTTCAGAAGAGCACACCTGTGCAGTCTTATTGTACATTTATGTAACAATAAGAAAAGAGTTCAGGAAAAATATCAAACAAAAATCTGTGGCAGTAATGTTCATTCAATAAAATGAATGAAGGAAAAACACTAATATTGAGAAAACATGAAAGCAGAAAAAAATTACAGGAATAAATTTCATTCTGTCTTGAATGCATTTATACACACATGGTAGGTGATGAATCCACACTTAAGACTCCAAGTCATTTAATTAAAGACACAAGGTGTGGTGGGGCAGAAGGCCTTGAAACTCTTCTGACATGGTTTTGATTAATTCAGATTTTGAGTTCAAACTGTGTAAAAACACCCAAAGCTAGGCTGCCTAGCCTTGGGTTTCTTTCCTCTGCCCTCTCAATTTTCCTCTTCTAATGCTTTATTAGGAGCATTAGAAATAATTTGATTTAAATTAAGAATAGATATTTGCTCTCCTGGTAGGATTACAGGGTAAGAACATCAAATTGAAAATGCTTGGGGCAAAGCTGAATCTTGTTACACATTCATAAAGCAGTTCACATAAATTCACGATCCCTTGCTGTTAAGTTTGGAGTGTTGTGATAAAAATAAAACATCTCAATAATTTGTCTCAGTGATATTTATCATAGTTTTTTTCCAGACTGGTTCTCTGCAAGAGCTATTCAGTGTTTTCTTTCCCATATGCTTTGTTTATGTTAATTTTAAGTTAATAATTTTCTTTATGATTTCTTTGGTAAATGGGCATGTAGATCAGCTGCTTTTCAGTGACATTTTCTGCTTGTGTCTCAGATTTATTCCCCCCACCCTGCATCTAATTTTCTCTCCTCAATGGATTTTTTTTTTCAAGGTCATTTTGTTTACATTTTCTGGGAAAAAGCAGTTGAATAATTTTCTTTATTTCAACGTTGTGTTAAAATCTAGTGTGTTTACAACATTTCCAGAAATGTTACTTTCTCATTTCCCTAAATCTTGCCTTTTCTTTCAAAGCAGTGCTTTGTTTGTTCAGTCTCATTGAAACACTTTCTTTTTTTAGGTGCCATAAAACGCAAGGTGGAATTAGAGTGGGGTACAGAGGACACAGAGTATCTTCAGAAGGTACATACTCACGTGGAAGGAGCTTTAAATGAATTAAAACCTGACATCATTGTTTATAATGCTGGGACAGACATTCTGGATGGCGACCCCTTGGGAGGACTTGCTATTTCTCCTCAGGTATTGTACTAAAATATCTACAGACTATCACTCCTCAACAGATACTGAAGCCACTTCTGAGAGTGACTGGTGGCAGTTTTAGGTGGATAGTAAGGTGCAAACTTTCCATGAAACCAGAGCGTTTCCCTGATATGGATACACACAGAAACTTGCTCTTTCACCATCTGCTTTTTCGTTGTTTCATCCTGCCTCCGCTTTTCTTCTTTGGGTGCCTGTTCCAGTATCATTCATCATGGGAAACTGTACTGATTTTGGACATCCAGACAGTAACCACAGGGGCATGATCTTCACACTCGACCTGACTCCTATTTTTCCTGTTTGGTTAATTATTTTTGTTGCTTTTCCCCTCACATAACCCACTTGGTGATACATTTTTCTTGTCGCCTGCCCCCCCTAGGTAGTTTATACTTAATTTCCTCTGTAGCACTCCCAGGAGTTTTAAATTGCTATTCTCTTCTAGTTCTAGAAATTTTGTTTAGCCTGTGTATTGTTAACAAATTAACAGGTTTTTTTGCCTTTCTCATCTTTTATATGGAAGTATCATTATCCTTTTTCAGTTCAGTTTACCTTCTCTTGCCAGATTGGTGCCAGATTTACATTTTTATTTCTTCTGTATAGTTTCATTGGAGTCTTCACCTCCCATTTTCTGAAAGTAAACAAAAATGTAGAAATCTTGTTTTTCCTCCCTTCATGATTCCTTCTCTGACAGTTCCTTGGTTCCTTCTCTTTCCTGTTCTTACATTTGTTTCTCTTTTAGTGTCCAGCAGTTCAATACAAAAACATACTTTCTTGATTTGTAAGCCCTCTGATTCCCCTCTAATTGAGCCATCACTTGATCTGTTCAGATTTCATTCTGTTTTGCAGTATTTTAGTTCTTAAATGCCTCCTCTTGCCCAGTACTCTAGTTTCTTGCTGGATTTTATTGGCTCCCTTATGTATTTCCTTATTCTTACCATCTCTGTCACTGAGAAGCCTTTTTATTGCTGACTGCCTACAAAGTCCTTGATGGACTCAAGGTGGAAGGACTTGGGAGCTGCTCTGAATCTCCAGGTTTTGTGTCCTTGGCAATGTAAAAGCTTCTATGGAGAAATGAAGAGCTGTGGGGCTTGGACTTGTTTCGTTTTGACCTTGGAGAGGATAGAACCTGAGATGTGAGATCTCATTTGGTGGAAAGCAGTGACCACAGAGAGAAATGGAAGTTAGTGGTAGACAGAGAATACTTTTAAGATGTGTCTTTTCGAATATTTTTTCTCTGCCATTTGAGAAGGACCGGTGTTAATTGCCAAGAGAAATGAGTTCCTGTAGCTTGTTTGGTGCTGTGTAGGGTATTTTGGAAAGGGACAAAATGCAAGGATGGGGAAAGAAAAGTGAAATGAGTCTTCTGGTCACAGTAGAGATGGAAGGCAGGGAGTGCCATTTCTCTGTGCAGCCAGTGCTCAGGTGCCTGAGAAGAGGCTTCTGTAGCTCATGCCTCTGTTCTCTGAACTGAAGGCAGCATTTCTTGTCTGTCTCATCTTGTTGGCTTCAGTACATGAATGACGTGTTCAACCAGGCATGAAATCCCAGGCTACTGGGAATGCCAAAACTGAAGGCATTGTGCCTGGATAACTCATGTCTTCAAGGTTCATTAATCCAGTCTCCTGTTTTAAAATCTTGCTGCAGTGTTAATTCTACTCACAGTTATGTCTCCTCTGAGTGCTGTAAGTGGTAGTTTTTTGGTGCTTGAGGCTGTAGCCACAAACTTGAAGTGCAGCAGGTAAGTCCTTTGTATCTGTGTGTGTGAGTGGGACTGTATCAGGCTGTCATTCTTTGTTGTTGTGTTTCTTTCCTGGTAACACACAAATGCTGGCATAAGCCCCTGTGTTTTCCCCTCAGTTTTTCCAGGCTGAGGCACTAGAGATGCTGGAGGAGGGATGAGGCAGTTAGGCTCCCATGAATGTAGTGACTGCTTCCAGTTCTTGGGTGGTAGAATGCTTGCTGCATCCAGTGGGGGTTCCCAAAGGACCTACAGCTCATTCTGCAATTCTGTTATTTCCTTTAAAGATCTGTTCCTAATATAATCCTTCAATTTCCTTGGCCTTATATTTAAGTTATTATTCCTTACGCCCATTGTTCTTTTACAGGGCTGTGTCAAATGATATAAAACCCATCATTGTTGTATGGCTTTACAAAATATTTTTTCAACTACATTTGAATTTTGTTCTTTTCCTTTTACCATTTTTTTGTGGTCTAATTTTATTTTAACAGCAGGGTAATTTTTCTTGATGTGTTTAGTCTTCCTCTAACCAGTCTGACTAGTGCACATTCATTTGTTCTAAAGATTTTGCTGATGCTTTCTAAATTTTTTGTAGTTCATTGCATTTTAATACCTTTCCCCTTCTCCAGCTTTAGCAGTTATTTACATTTTGAACTATCCATTGTAAGCTGTTGTCTATTATGTTGTTAGTGTTTTTTATACTTTTTTGAGGAGTTGTAATGGATAATTTATGCCTCCTATGTGCCTCCAGAACTCTGCTTTTCCTTTTTCCACAAAAGTAAATTTTTAGTTGTGTTCTCATTTATTTCTGAATTTTCTTTGAACACCAAGAGACTTGAAGTCTTCTGTTGTATGTTTTCAACGACAGCACAAGTACCTCTTGGTCATCACTTCCTGGTTTTTGTTGTGTTTTTTTCAGTTCCATACCCTTGTCTACTAGTAAGAAATTATTTAGAGTTTCTTTTCCTTTTTTATGGATTTACCATGACTTATATTTTGTTCGGCCACAGATCCTTTTAGTATTAACTGCAGACTTCTATCTGCTGTGTCCTCTAAAACTAAGTCAAGGATTTTTGATTTGCAGTTTGTTGGTTTTTTCTATGATTATTCAGATAAACCTGCTAACAGGACTTGGAAATTATTTTTTTACATTCCTGTTTTGTGAGCTAATTATTTCTTTTTTTATTCCTATAGTGTGAGCTAATTTCTGTATAAAGCAAGTATAAATGTCTTCAAATGGTTGTGTCTAACACCTGTGGCCTGCAGAGGCAGTGCTGTTTCCTACTTCTGAACAACTATTTCTGATTTGCAGTGTTTGCAGCTCAGCTCTTGATGATCTTGATAGATTGATAGGAACCAATATCCTGTAACTCGTAGGTCCTTCTAATAGTGTCTGACTTCCCCTATTTCTTGTCACTGTTGTGTGGGTGTTTATTTTCTGTTGTTTAGCACAAGAGATACTGTTAGATTTAATGTTAATTAGAAATAAGGGTCCACTGATTATTTTAATTTAAAAAAAACAACTTTAGAGGAGGCTGTGAGCACCCTTAAGAACTTAGTAACGAGTCCCAGCACTCTAGGAAGCTAACAATGCTCAGCTGCTCTGTTCAGTGCTGTAGCAAAGTACAGTTGAATGAGGCTCAGAGCAACCTGGTCTAGTGGGAGGTGCCCCTGCTCATGCAAGGGGTTGGATCTAGATGGTTGTGAAAGTCCCAACCTAAACCATTCTAGGATTCTGTGGTTGTAAAATGAAAGGCTTATTCACCTATCGAAGAGCCCCTCCTGTAAACCCGTAAACCATAGGGTAAAATACTAAAATACCATATCAATAGAACTTCTTTTTGCTAACTTGTAAACTTGCAGGGGATTGTGAAGAGAGATGAAGTGGTGTTCAAGGCTGCCAGGAGCCGCAGGATCCCCATCCTGATGGTGACATCTGGAGGCTACCAGAAGAGGACAGCGCGGATTATTGCCGATTCCATCCTCAACCTGCACAACCTGGGCCTTATTGACAAGGAGCTGGCAACCAGTGGAGCTGGAAATCCCAAGGTGGAACAGATGATTAGAGACTCTGCTAAAGACTTATGCAACTTGTCACTGCAATGACGAGTTCCTGAATTTTAGGAGCCAACTTAGTGGTTTAGGAGCAGGAAGTCTCCACGTCGTGGTCAGGGTTAATAAACATTTTTTAAAAGGACTCAACTCCTCTGTAAAGTAACACAGTAGAGATAATACAATAGGTAGTCACAGAATAATGGTGTCTAACTTCTGAAGCTCTCTTGAGCAAAGATAACCAATCCTTTTAAGCTAATGGAGACATATACTCAAGGGTACTGTCTTTCAGTTTATGGAACTACTGTAGAAAGCTTTAATTGCTTCTCATATTGTTATGGCTAGTGTGTTATGTTGAAAGAACTATGCAGTTTGTATCCAAAGACTGTCCAGGCCTATTTCAGGTGATGCAATCTGGATTATAGTGGGAGAAATGTGGACTAAACCTACTGGCCTTTTTATTTTTTTGGAGATCCTGCATTTTATTTATTGCTTTTTAAATTGAAATGTCGTTGTAAAGCTAATTCTGTGCATGCTTCACCTGTCAGTTTAACACTGAAGTTAAGTGCAATACTATAAAAAACAGTTCAGTTGGTAAGCTTTTAAATCATAGCCTATTAGAACGGAAGTTCATTAATTTACATTTTACTCCTGTTGTTGGTAGTGACTAAAATCCTACTTATAAACACCCTGAGAAATAGAATATGAAATGCCTTTGACTTCATATGCAAATGAGCCATAAGGGATCAGGATTCAGTCTGGCTTTGGCCTCTCAAAATGAGGCCTGCATATAAAAGGCAATAGTTACTATGCATTGTAGATCAGAATAAAGAAACTACAATAAAATGAAAACTAATTTTAGAGTTCTGAGAATCCTTGCAGAAAATATTACGTAAAACAAAAAGGAATCTTTTATTATTGTCAGCTTATCATGTACAAAACAATGAAGAGTAAATTTTGGGTTTTTTTAGATATTTTTTTCCAACCAGTGCTGTACTTCACTTGCTTGAAGGAGTAATGGTGCAGTCATAGTTTGTAATCAAATTGTTGATACTCACAGATCAACATACAGTGAATTTTCTACACTAAGATGATGTGCTAACTTTATGTGGGAGCTTCTAGGAGGATACCAGAACAAAAACGTGTATTCAAAAGCAAATTCAGTATGCTAAACGTGTTCAGTTTTATTTAAATTGGTATATTTTGCATTAGGTACTGTTTGTAGCAGTGGGTCACAAACCTACTAAACTGTATATTTTGCATGAGCTTTTTTAACTTCCAAATATTCACTGACTTGTAGTACAAGTTTCATGTCATGTTTAGGTTTGAGCCTTTCTTGGAAGGAACAATGATGTTTTCTTGTAGTAGATTTGGTATATAAGCTGTTTAATTCTAATCAGAATACTTACCTCACTTGTGTTAATTTTTAGGTTTGGTGGGGTTTGTTAATTGTAAGAAATTGCACAATTGCTAGAAATACCTGCTTTAAACCAGGTTTGACATATTGCACTAATCTTGAGTTGACACACTGTTATTGAAAAGCACTTTTAAATTTCTTCCTAGGAGGACCATCAGAGTACAATTAATGTTGAGATTTATTTTTTCTAAGCTGTCTGATGTTACTGAGATATTATTCTTTCATATAATTTTTATAAAATTATAAATTACATTTCTGTAAATTTAACCCCTGTCATAGTACCCATGTGGTCTTTTCCAAAACATTTTCTGTTTGTGTTAACATGTTTATAATATTTTCCCTTGGTGGAGATTAAAATGATGTTGAACAATACTGACTGACTTTTTTTTTTTTCATTTCATATGTATCTTGGCTGTCAACATTTTTTTAACTGAGTAGTTTGTTGAAAAGACAAGATTATGTGTTTTTCATACTTACAATGTAACTGAAACTGCAGTGAGTCTTAAGGGCAAATAGTAGATGATTTGTCAACAGCAGATGAATTATCTGAGTTAATGTGTTGGCCTCTTGAACTGATCTTGGAACTTTTGTATCCAAATATTTTTAAATAAGTCATTGTAAGGTGTGAAAGTCACTTTCTTATTCCAAGTTACATTCTAATATTGTAACTCCTATTTTAAGTATTTTATCATTGCAGGTATTGAACTGTAAACTAAGCTTTTGTTAAGGCTGCAGTAGTTTGTGGAAGCTCTTTTACAAGTCAGCATCTTTTCAGAGAGAACTAATTGCTTGCAGAAGAGCCTACCAGCTTTCAAAGACTCATCTGTAAAGTGGGGATTGGTAAGCACTGGCATGTTGACTGCATTTGCAGTGTTTGTTATGAAGTTAGAGTTGGCAGACAATTCCTGCTTCATATTATTATTTTTTTATTTAGCATATTTGCCTTAAAACCAAAAAAATAATTTCTACATGTAAAGAAGCTATTCAAAGATAAATGTGTACTGCTTTTAAAAATTAAGTGAAACTGTTTCTGAGTTGAGTTTAAACCATAAGTATTATATGATTCCTAGTTAATACACTGCTATTATTCTGAAAGGTTCATCATGGAAACCTTGCCTGGACCTACCACTGTAAAAAATGTTGGCTTTGTGGAGTGCAAAGACCTCTGTAGGTCTGCTTGGAGAATGCCATGTAGTCACAAATTTAATGAGGAAATTGGTTTTTTTGGATGGGAGTTGTAAGTATAAAATCCTCCCATAATAGGAGTGTGTCAGAACTGGTGCCCTCTCTTGCAACAAAAACGTCTCAAAGGCAGACCTAGTGTGTCTTGTCTTCTTGTTATGAAAACATCAGTTTTGACTCAGTTACTTAAGTGAGAAATAGTGAGGATTGTTCAATAGCTGATTTAGTGTTAGTGAACACGCATGTCTTGTTAGTCACCCATGTGTGAAACACATGGCAAAAATAAACAGAAGAGTAGGTTCTCATCTCTTTGATTTGACAGCTGGCATGTTGAGCTCCAGCCTCCCTTGCCTCTGTTTGACAGTCAACACACAGTGTAGAACTTGGCATTAGAAACTCTGGGTGTTGTGGTTGGAGTCTTACACTGACTAAATGTGAGCTTTAGATGGTGATATGAACCTCTCTCATATTCAAGTTATGATTTCCTTGTTTGTTTGATGCTTTTTAACACCCTGTGTTGGGCAGTCCCAGGCTTGTCTCATGAATACCAGGGTGAGAAATGCTGCACACAGCTTGTTGTGTGGAGGGCAGGTTAGTGCTTCTGTTTGGTGAATAATAAATGTTCATGCTTCCAGGTTCTCTACTCCTTGCTGTTCCTCACAGCTTGAGGAACCTAATGACTCTGAAACCACTCCCTGGTACCTTCTGGTCCTGCTACCAGAGTGAAGGTGTTCAGCAGTATTTCTGCTTCCTCTTGCATGTACAACAAGGCACACAATTCTTTTCAGTGCTGGCTGCTTGTGGTTTGTTTTTTGGTCTGGGAAGTGACACTTAGGAATTTCTTGTGCTTTACAAATTGTACTGTGCAATTGTGTCCTGCATGTAACACAGCCACTTTGGGGAGAACACTCTGACAAACTCAGAAACTATGAAGTCAGGATTCTTGGATCTAGACTTTGCTCACACTGTGCTGCCAGGAGCTGAAGGAGCTTGCTGAGTTCAGAAAGCTACAGGGTCTAGGATCTTGGTGCTGTTTGCTAGGCCAGTTTTGGAACTGAACAATGGAAAACAGTCTTCTTTCAAGGAAACTGCAGTCCCTTGATGGAGAAGAAAGTTCACTTGCTATCTTTGCCTAGTAGAAGATGGTCTTCCACATATCCCCAGGCTAATTGAGAAATACAGAACATATCCAAAGCCTCATCCCAAGTGATGCTGTGTCCTGAACTTGCCTTGGATGTAGCATGTCATGTATTCCCCAGCCATTCTAGAGGCAAGCTTGCAAATTTTGGGGGGATGTGCTAGCCTTTAGCTTAGACATTAAATAGGTGGGATTTTTGGGTTTTTGGTCTTTCCTTGATCCTGACACTTTTGGTAATCTCTTAGATTTCCCATTCAGTGCTCATGTAATTTTCCTTTTTTTATCTTACCCATTATGCAGGCTATTTTGCTACAGTCAATCACTTTTTACCACAGGTCAATAGATTTAATTTCTTCTAAAAAGAAGTGGTGTTTTGGCAAGCTACAGGAAGGACCAATTCCTATTGCTAGACCTGGTTCAGGTCTAGTACAGTACTGACCTGTAGATGATCCTGAGGACAAAGCAAGTAATTTCTGCCCTACTTTCCTACAGCCTTTTGAGTGTGCTGAAACTGACTTCCTGAAACAAAATTAATAATATTGGGGTAAGACAAAAATGCCATTTTAACTGAAAAGATTGAATAGACATAGGAAGTTATTGTGGTGGGGCTTTGGCTCTGACCTACCAGCCTGGTGCAGGTCTGACCTCCCTCCTTACATCTTATGTGAAGTAAGCTGTAACTTCTGGTTGGGGATGAATTGAGTACAGAAATGATGAAAGGACTGACAGTAAAATTACCAGTCTTGCAGTTATTACTTTTTGCCAGTGCAGTGGTCTGTGGAGCCAAGGCACACTTCCATTAATCATTTCTTCTAAAGTAACATGACAGAGATGTAGTTGAACTATTTGTTGTCAGATATAAGGCTCATTATACTTTTCACTGCTAAGCTCCAAACTGTTGCTTTATTTTGATGTTGAGAGCAGACATCCTTTGAGCTTGACTGGAACTGATTATCTTCATCTGGAAATGCATGTTTTATTTGTGTAAAAATAAAAAAGAAATAAAGTAGTCAACCTAAAATAATGCATCTTGTCTTTATAGTGTCTTAAATTTATGTCCTTAGTAGAGTTATAACAGTGCTTTGTGAGAGCAAAGAGATGTCTCATTCACTTTTGACACCTAAGAAAGGTTGTAATTAATCCTGTTAGCCAAAAGCTTGTCATTTGCTCTGGGACTATTATTTTTTTTTTTTTTCCCTCTGTATTTGCTAAAGGTACAGAAGAGAACAAAGTGGACTTAAGGTCTCTTTAGGTCTATAGCAGAGATAAGACAAGGAAACTGAAGATTTCCTAAACAAAAAGCTGCAGTCTGCGCTCTGCTTTCCTTACAGGTGGCATTGGAGCTGCAGCCAGGAACAGCCTCTGCTTGTTGCATGAACCAAGTAGAATCCTTCCTGGTGTATGTAGGTATCAGCATAATT